CCTGTGCTCAAGCGACGTGCCGGGCTCGGGTCGCTCGAGGCCGCGCCGCCGCCCCGTCGGGCGGTGGCAGAGCGAAGAAGATGAAGACCAGAGCCTGCGCTGCCCCGGCCACGACCCTGATCCGCAAACTCCGTCACCGGCAGCATCCAGCGACCAGACTGAGACAACTCCAATTGATACTCCTTAGAGCCAGGCGGGAGCAAGAGCTGATGATCGCCTGGCCCGATGAAGTACATACTGCCGTTGAAGCAGTCCACGATGGCACGGTCGCGGCGGAGTGCCTCATTGCCAAGCAACGCCGGCACCGATGAATTTGGCACAATCGGTGCATCAAAGCTACCTTCATCACCGTCAGCCAAGGCGAGAGGAACACGACCACGATCCAAACAAGCGTCAGCATTGTTGCCAACACCTTCGCCACCGATGGGCCTGTCCAATCTGACGCACTCGACCGCGATACCTCTCTCCGCCCAAATGGCTGAAACTCGCTTGAACCACTCGCTGCCGGTCAAGTTATCATGCGCACCTGGATCCACCAGCAGAGCCTCGCGACCATCTGATAGACGGGTGCGTGCATGGCATGCTCTAAGGCGTTGTCGAGCTAGAGACCGACGGCGTTCCTGCGCAGGAAAGAACAGTCCCTTGCCGCCCGCGGTCCGATGCAATAAGGGAGAAACGGCCGCAGCAGCACCCACGGCAGGCACCTGCAAATCACGTCCAAGAGGAGGAGCGGTAGTGGGCACAGCCTTCACTGGCGGTGCTCGATGCATCGGAGGCGGTACGAAGGCCTTAGGCACGCGCGTGGCCGCCTGTTTGACAATGAGGGCCGCCTCCGAGCCCGCTGCAATCTTACGCTTGTCTACCCTGGCGCTCAAGATACTGCTCAACTGCACGGTCTGGGCCTGAGATCTACCACGCTGAGCACGAGGAGCAACGCCCTTACCTTTTCCTTTCTTGCCCTTGCCATTTCCAAACAAATCATCGCCCGCGAAGTGGTCTTCGCCCTTCTCGTAGCCCTGCCAATCTTCCAGACCATCATCAGCTTCATCCTCAAGGGCGAGCTGGTCCTGTTTGCGATCATCACCAGCGGTGGCGTACCAAACTCCACCGGGAGAACCGCCCGCACCATATCCAACTCCGTCATATCCACGTCCACCTTCACGCGCAACGAACGAACCTGTACCTTTCCCCTTTATGCGGGCATTCTCTGGCATGATGCTGGTCACTGTTGCGCACATGACAGCGAAGAACAGTGCCCTGCGCGTCGCGAGGGTTGCCCTTGCCTGCCCCTGCCCCTCCACCGCCTGAGAAACCTTTTCCTTTCCTGCCTGCCTGATAAGCTGCACCCACGAACGAGGAACTCGACGCAGAACTGGTCATGGGCGCAGCCTTGGCGGTGGAGGAGACATCATTCTCGAAGTGAAAGGAGTCCGCGACCACGATTCTTGCCTCCATACTTTGAGACCTTGCGTCCATGGCGAGAAACCTAGGAGTGCTTACCATTGAACTGTCTCCAGCGTCGTCGTGACGTGATGCACTCGTGGCGAAGAACATTGCTTATGACAGGGCTGCGAGCGCAGCCAGAGGAATGGTTACATCTGCTGGGCATGTGCGAGGATAGGCTGCCGCAGGACAACGATGAATTGACCCGTCTGACGCAGAGCATCCGACTTCGCGGTCACGCATTCACGCAGGATGGCATCGCGAGAGCAGCGGAGAGAGCGACGAAAATTCCAGGCGCGACAGCTCATCCGGCTCACATTGGCTTCGGCAAGGGCAATCGGCATTTCACTGCGACGGAGGCCGGCCAGAGTTTCTTCCCGACGTTTGGTGCTGATGTTAACCAACGGGGTGGGTTCTTCCCAGCGACGGCAGTGCCACCACCGCCGACGCGTGGTCATCTAGCGCCGCATCGTCGTCGCATGCAGGAGTTCAGAACATATACTTTGATGAGATAACGCCTCCACCAGTGGCACAGACTACTATGATGAAGGCCCGCAGGATCTGGATACATATCTGGTGGAGGTGGATCCTGAGATGCATGGAGTCCAGGTCCAGCCCGCTGGTCCAGGATTGAGACCATGGTCCATGGCGCGAGACTTCAGCACCTGGAACCGATTCAACAATATGTCGATAGTCTCGTGGGGCTGAGCCGAGGATGCCATCATCTCCGCCAAAGCCTTGATCGCGTCCTCTCCAGTCTCCATCGCATAGTTGCGGGCGAGAGCTCTGAGCAACACGGCGAGGCCCGTGACTTGACGGGGCCCCAGACCGTCATGCAGGTCCATGACTTGGCCCTGCTGCAGCACCTGTGCATCCAACTCATCCGCGAACTCTCTCGCCGCGCCTCCAAGTCTCAACACCACCGCAGCTCCCTGTGCATTCTCTGGGATCTCGGTGGCTATATTCCACAACGTAAGATCTCGCAGCCACCGTCTGAGCGGGTATCTCGTACTCCAGTCGGGCGACCACGCTGGCGGTACCTTCGTGGAGGCCATAATCTGAGCCTGGTCAGCGAACGTCAGCTCGGCCATGTTGACAACACTGTGTGAGAGGACTAGAGAGACTCACGGCGTTCTCGCTGACGTGCAGGCAGGCGGGGAGGGAGAAAACGGCGCCGCCGAGGTCGTACTCGGCGAGGGCGAAGCAGCGCAGTGGAAGCCCCGGCAGATGGACCGAGGCTCCGCTACCAAGATCAAATCAGCGGTGTGGCGTCAGCCTCGCGAAGATCACGACGATCTTCCTTTCAAGCTCACAGCGCGGGACCGCGCCACAACATCAATCTTCACAGTACAACAAGTGAAACTGGCTGGCCGCCTCGAGCCGAGGCAGCCACGGGCGATGGGGAGGGCATCAGGAGAAGGCCAGGAACATGTTCTTCGACTCCTGAGAGGCCTTTGGTGACCCTTGAGAGGGTTCTTGACGGCGTACAAGAGGGCTGTGGCGGCCCCATGAGAGTTGTGTTTTTTTTTTTCCTGGCAGCCCCTGAAAGTATTCTGGGCGGTCTCTGAAAGCGTTCTGGGCGGCCCCATGAGAGGGTTCACTGGCGCCTCCTATGAGGGTTCTTGGAGGCCCCTGAGAGGCCGCGGCCCCTGAGGAGGGTTTTTGGCAGCTCCGGAAAGGACTCTTCACGGCCCCTAAGAGGGTTCTTGGAGGCCCCTAAAAGGCTTCTTGGCGGTTCCTGGGGGGCCTCTTGGCGGCCCCTGAAAAAGGGTTTTTGGCGGCCCCTGGGCCAGCCCGCACCTCCTCCTCTGGGCCTTCTCTGGTTGGCCCCTCAGCCCCCAGAGGCCTCGCGCCCGCCTCGCACGGCGCTTCCCTCTGGGATACCTCCAGCGGGTCCCTGTTGCAGGCGAAGCGCAAACAGGCAAAACAACATGCAGACCGACAGTGCGTCAGAGCAAACGAGCAGGCGGCAACAACATGCCAACTCGAGCAGAGCAAGCGAACCAACGAGCAGGCGAGCAGAGCAAGCGAGCAGGCGAGCAAAACAAACTAGCAGGCGATTAGAGCAAACGAGCAGGCGACTGACGGCGGCAACGACATTACCCAGCGCCGCGGGCCCCCGCTCACTCACGACTCTCAGCGCTGATGGTGGTGGTGGGTCCCGGCGCCGCGGGCCCCCTTCCACTCACGACTCTCAGCACTGATAGTGATGGTGGGTTTCTGGGGCCCGTTCTTGGGTTGGGATATTCTGTGCTCGTGGCTGGTTGTGGGTCGGCGGTCCTCCTCCTCCTCCTCCTCCTCCTCCTCCTCCTCCTCCTCCTCCTCCTCTTCTTCCTCCTCCTCCTCCTCCTCCTCTCCTCCTCCTCCTCCTCCTCCTCCTCCTCCTCCTCTTTTTTCACCTCCTCGTCCTCGCCGTCCCTCTCCTTTTCCAACTCCTCCTCCCCCTCCCGTTCATCCCCCGGTTCTCCGTCTGTTCCTCCGTCAGCCCCTCCACCTCCTGTTCCTCTTGCTCCTTGTCCTCATTTTGTTTACCCTCATCCTCCTCCTCCTTCTCCTCGATCCTCATTCCTCTTCCTCCTCCTCCACTTCGTCCTCCTTCCGCCACTCTTTCTTCTCATTGTTTTGTCCGTCCCCATATCCTCCTCATCCTCGTCCTCCTCCTCTTCCTCGCGATGGGTCAATCGTGCGCAACACCTTTCGGTGATTCAGAAGCGCAGGTTCTCTAACATTGATTATCCCAGTGCGACCCTATCCCGGTGCGGCCCTGCCTGGGAGTTTGAGCATCTAGGAAAGCAACATCTACATCTACACCGACAGTTACATTAACAGCTACACATGCATGTACATCTACATCCACATCCACAGCGAGACTCACATATGCATGCGATGCTATGATATGCTGTGTTGCGCTATGATATGCTGTACTAGGCTATGATATGACATGTGATATGCCATGATGTGATGCGCTATGGTATGCTGTGTTATGATATGTTATGATACGATGCGCTATGCTATAATATAATGTGTTCTGATGTGTTGCGATATGATATGTTATGATATGATATGCTGCGCTATGCGATGCTAGGATATGCGGTGATCTGATATGATATGATATAATATGATATGATATGATGCACTGTGTTATGCTAAGCTAAGATAGGCTTAACTCCTCCCGCAACTATTTATCTCCGGCACTCAGGAAGCGTTGCTATGGTCGGAGCCGTGAGCGCATCGACACCGAGACGATTGACTAGGCACGGAACGCAAATACAAATCGGCTCCCTGGAGGTGCGGGGAGGTGGGTGGGTGACGGCTGAGGCCTTTGCTCCCGTCCCAAAGCCTACAAGTCAAGTTTAACTCCTCCCGCAACTATTTATCTCCGGCACTCAGGAAGCGTTGCTATGGTCGGAGCCGTGAGCGCATCGATACCGAGACGATTGACTAGGCACGAAACGCAAATACAAATCGGCTCCCTGACCGAAACTTCCAAACATGCTAAGCGAGACACACAGCATGCATGAAGACACTTGCCAGGCTGCGAGACAAGCAGCAAGCGCTCAGTTTTTGCCACGCACGGGAGAGGCCACGGCCCGTGCGAGCAGGCCTGGCAGCGCAGCGGCGAAGCTCCCCACGAGCTCTCGCGAGGCCTGCGACAGGTCCGGCACGAACGCCACCGCCGCCACCTCCTGGATGTAGATCTCCATGGACTTGAGCTGCCTCCACCTGCCCCTCCACTGGGTGCGCGGCAGGTCCTCGGACTGCTGGAAAAAGAACGTGGCACCGCCGCCACGATGCGATGCTGGCGTCAGGCCATGCGCCTCCGTGGCCGCGACGCCGAAGAAATGCACCAGCGCGTCGTGGCACCGCCGGAACTGCTGGTAGGAGCCGCTGAAGATCTTCTTTCCAGGCGGCTGCCCTGCCGCCAGCACCTCCAGCAGCCTGACCAACGCCACCTCGTCGCACCTGGCGTGCTCCATGCGAGCCACCGCCCAGCGGGCCTTGGGCTCGCGCACCTTGACGTAGCACACCTCGTTGTCAGCCATCAGCTGGGACGGCAACAAGATGTCCGAGTAGGTCAGACCGTGGGCCTCGCCAGGCCGCAGCATGCACGTGAAGGCCAAGAAGACGAGGACGGCCATGTCGATCCACCTCCAGCTGAGTGCCAAGGCCACCAGCGCGCGCAACACCGGCAGCGGCGTGGGGAAGCGATGGCGCGTCGGCACGGCGTACTGCCACGCCTGCGACACATCCCACGCCGCGCCCAAGTGTCGGCGCAATGACCTCTCCACGTCCACGATCGCGTTGTTGATGGTCTTCGTGTAGTGCTTCAAACTCCTGCCACGCGAGTAATGCACCTGGCCGTACGAGGCGACGATGTTGGAGACCACCCGCGGCAGCTGCACCACCAGCTCCGCCACCGAGCAGCCGCCGTCCAGCGCCAGGAGCCACGTCTCGAACTGTTTCAGCAGCAGGCGCCTCATCTGTGCCGTCTTGGCGCCCGTCTGCGGCCGCAGGCGGAGGTCGACCGCGGGCCGAGGGTCGGGCGGCTCGCCTGCAACGCGAGCGCCACTCGTCATCATCATCACGCTGATCCAGACCACGGCGATCAGCCTGCATCCGCCTGAAGCCACGCTGGCAGGGCCCTCGCCAGGGTAGCCGAGCGTGCTGTCGAAGTCCTTCTGCGTCCACAAGAGCAGCTTGAACGTCATGCGACGCCACTCCGACTCGGCGCGCCGCTGGCGAGGCACGCGCGTCCACTGGTCGAGGCTCCGCAAGTCGCCAGCTACAGCCGAGCGCCACCAAGCGGGCGGCGTGGCCGACGGCGGGGCGACGCCTCGGCCCCGAGACGGCCCGTCGGCGGGGATCAAGCGCGTGGGCGAAGTCGCACCCCGGGTACACGTCGAACCCAAGCACATCGGGCAGGCCCACCTTCAGGTCGTCGTTGAGCGCGTGCGACGCCGACCTACCCTTCGAGCAGGCACCCGGCGCCACGGTCGAGTCCAGCAGGAACGGCTGTCGGGTCCCAGGCTGCTGCCGCGCCGCCTTCGCCCTCGCTCTCAGGTGGGCGCGCACCTCCAGGCGGTTGATGTGCGTCGCCGGCGGACAGGGGTCACAAGTGGAAGCGCGCCAGCGGCAGCAGCGGATCAGGTCGTTGACGAACGGCTGCTCCAGTCGCCCGCCAGCCGCGGCCGGCGCCTGCTCGGGTCCTCCCAGCGGAGCCCTGGCTGCCAGATGCGCCCGCGTCAGCTCGGCCCAGATGGCGCACAGCTCGGCCGTGTAGGCGGCCGCCGGCGCCGCGCGCGCCGCACCGACCAGCGGGCGGCTACGAGCGCGGCGCCCATGCACGCAGGGGCGGGACAGCGGCTGCAGGAAGCCGCCGCTCACCAGACCTAGCCGCGTCGGCTTCTGGTACGGCGCGCCGAAGGCACAGGCCGCAAAGTCCAGTGAGCCGCAGCCGGGTTTGGCGAGCAGCGACCGCAGCGCCGGCACGCACCACGAATAAGCGCCAGCGGGATGCTCCATGGACCCGAGCCTGTCGCACTTGAGCGCGGTCCACAGGATGAGGAGCACCCTGTAGAGCAGGACGGTACCCAGGCGCGTCGCAGGATCAGTAGGATCCAGGCCCAGCGGCTGGGCTCGCGAGCGCAACCGCGGCTGCCGCGCCAACGAAAACGTGGCGCACGGCGGGGCGCAGTGCACGTAGGCGACCCGGCCGTTGATGATCAGGAAGAGGATCCACTCCACGATGCGGACGGAGCGCAGGTCCCAAAGCGGATGCGTCTCGGGGTCGATCCTGGGCCCCACTCGCAGCCCGGCGGCCGCATGTGCCGAGGACCATGGGGCATCGCGCCCGCTGCAGACCTCCAGCACGTCGAACACCTCGAGCAGATGCCAGCGCGGCACCTTAGCCCCAGGCCGCAGCTCCTCGTCTACGTCCTGCAGCCAGGCTCGATCCTCCAGTCGCTTGTGCGCGCGGATGTAGGCCACCTCCTTCATGGTGAGCTGCGTGTGCCACCCGCGCTGGTCCCTGTGCCGCCAGATCTCGCGAACCACCGTCTGGGCGACGTCGGCCTCGACGGCAGCCATGAAGTGGTGCGAGGCGTCGCTGTGCATCACCCTGCTCGCGACCTTCGCCTTGAGATTGGTGACCAGCGTGGGCGCCAGCATGGGCAACAGCATCAGCTCCTGCCGCGCGCCCGCGTTCAGCTCGAAGACGTCGTCGTCAAGCGGCACCGCCGGCAGCGCGCGGAACACCTCGTCCAGCAGGCACATAGCGGGCCGCCGAAAGCCCACGACATGCACCCAGCTGGCCACCGCCCTCCTGAGCAGGGCGCCCGTCGCGAGGCCGTGCGCCGCAATGCCAGAGGATAGCAGCGCCAGGCCAGCACGCCGCAGACGTTCAGCGCCGATATGCCCCGAGGACAGCACCTCCGCTTCCAGCGCGAAGCCCGCGGAGGCGCCTGCCACGCGCTTGTCGTCCGCGGCCCTCAGCCCCACCTGCGCGCACTGCTCGCGGGCTCCAGCGAAGGACTGCACCAGCTCGCGCGGCAGCTGCCGAGAGCCCCGCGCCCGCTGCCCCAGGCCGATGCGGTCGTCGATCTGCAGCAGCTCCGCGCGCGCGCCCCTCGGGAAATGCCGATGGCGCTGCACCCGCACCGCGTCCGCCAGCGAGCCCCCCGCCTGCAGCACGGCCTCGTGAGCGCCCTGGGCGAAGTCGATGGCGCTCAGGTCCCCCATGAGCAGGCTGGCCACGCACGCCACGCAGTGCTCCCCCAGCTCGGCGCGGCGCGCCGCGCACGCCTTGGTGTGTTTCAGCAACTACGTGGGGACCTTGCGCCCCAGGATGTTGGCGCGCGCCTTGGCCGGCGTAGAGTCGAAGGCGGGGTTGAAGTCGGCCACGTCCTCCGCGAACAGCACGGGCACGAAGCCCTCGTTCAGCTCGTAGTCGCTCAGCGCGTGCCCAGAGACCAGGCGCTGGCTGCCCGACTGCAGCGCGTGCTCGGCCGCGTTCCGTATCCTGCGATCCCACGCTATACGATCTCGGTGCTGATCACGGTAGACCGGGATGAGCTTACAGGCCTGGCCCATGTCCACCTCGTCTGGTCTCGCCAAATACAGCTTGTGGGAGCGATCCGAATCCGAAGCGAACTCCACGATCTGATTCATGCTCCCAGACTGCCGCATACCCTCAAGCCATGCTCGAGCGGGACGTCCCTCAAGATCAGCTCCGGGTCCAGGTACGCCGCCGCCTCGAAAACGGGCAGGTGGTACAGAGGGTCGAAGCGGGCCTCCTGCTTGCAGAAGGTCGCGCGGCTGGCCACGAAGGGCGCCGCCACCGCGAGAGGGGGTGGAGCGCGCACCTGCTGCTCGGGTGCGGCTCCACGCAGTTGCATACCGAATTCGAGGAGCGACTGCAGCTTCATCTTGCCGCGGCCGCTCATGTGGTAGGGCGCGCGGCCCCGCTGCTTGGCAAGGGCGAGGAGGTGCGGGAGCCGCTCTCGCTGCACTTCACTCAAGCCCATCCCCGCCCTGTAAGCGTCCGGGCACCGCCGCCGCGAGCCGAGCGCCAGGAAGGAGCACGCGACCACTATCAGGTTCACCTGCAGCTTGGCCACCTGCGCCTTCTTCCAGCGGCCCCTGCAGCGCGGGCTGGAGTACGGAGGGGCGCCGATGGTCCACGAGTAGGGCGGCGCCATCGGGAACAACTTCAAGCAGGTACGCGCCGGGGAGTCCGACGGCGTGCCGGAGAAATGCATGCACGAATACAAGTAGTAGGCCAGACTGGTCCTGGCCTGCAGCACGCGGCGCACCATGCCGATCTGCACCCGCGGCAAACCAGCCTCGATGTCCGCCAGCAAGCCGGCGTCGCCGGCTACGCCCCCTCCTTGCCGCCCCCGCCGCGCCCGCCCTTGGGGGGCGGCTTGGGCGGCCGCTGCTCCTCCTCGTCCTTCTTGCCGCCGCCGCGGTCGTCGTTGAACTTCTTCCTGATCTCGGCCAGGGAGGCTGCGCCCTTGGTGTAGGCCATCGCTGCCGTGGCCCACGTCGGCTCGGCCAGGTGGCCGAAGGGTCGCAGGCTGTCCACCGAGCCGCTGGAGCCCGTCGTCATCTGAGACCACGGCGGCTCGGGCAGGTGAGTGAGGAGCCAGGCCAGCTGCCAGCGCCCGTTGTCCCTCTGCGCCTGCTCCAGCGCCGTCAGCAGCAGCAGGATGACCGCCTCCGCCGCCTCGAGCTGGCCTCGCGCCAACAGGTCCGCGACCCGCGCGATCCCGAAGCCTAGGTAGGCCGCCGTCCTGTTGCCGCGGTTGATCGTGCCCGTCCTGACCACGAACTCCACCAGGCTGCGCACGCGCGGGTCGGGGTCGTCCGAAGTGCCAGCCAGCGCCACCTCCGCGTTCCTCTTGTTCATGGCTGACCACGCCGCGGGACGCGCTTGCAGATCGCGCCGCAGCATCTCCATGCTGGCAGCGCCGCGGGGCCCTGGCATCTTGCCAGCAGCGGCGGACCCATCGTCGAGGCCCGGCTGCCATAGCCCGGCCAGCGCGTCGGGCACGGCGCCAGCAGGCATCCGCTGCAGCTCGGCCACGGCAGCCCAATGGGCGGCTAGCTCGGCCGGCGAAGCTCCTGCCGGCGGCGGCGGGGCTGCGGCCACCGCGTCAACGCGCCCAGCGGCGGGCACGCCGGCCCCGGCCTGGCACCACGCAAAGATGCCCTCCGCCGACCTGCGCACCTCGCCCTCGGCGACGTCGGCGAGCGGCACGCCGTGGGCACGAGCGTAGGAGGCGCGGGCCTGGGCAACCTGCACCGCGTTTAGAGGCATCTCGCTGGCACGCCCTGCAGCCGCCCCAGCGTGGGGGCCTCGCGCAGCCGCGCCTGCGGCAGCGGGCACGGCGCCGACCGGCAGCGGGCTCGCCAAGCCTACAGGCTGCCCGAAGCGAGCCAGAGGCGGCGCGACTGCGGCCTGCAGCGCCCACTGCACCGCCGCCTGCTCCGCCGCGGCGCCTCGCGCCGGTCCGAGCACCTGCGGATGCAAGGGGGCGGCTGCGGGCAGGGCGGGCGCGGCCTCGCCCAGCGCGGGCTCCGCGGCGCCCACAGGCCCCGCGCCTCCAGCCGGCGGGCGCCCCACCGTCTCCAGCAGCGCCATGCGCCTCAGCGCGTCCTGATTCGAAGCCTCCAGGCGCTCCAGCACGGCAGCCAGCGAAGCGACCGTCGCACGGCCCGAGGCCGCGGGCGGGCGGGGCCGCGCGGGGCCGCGGCGGCTCTCGGCGGCGCTGTCCTCCTCCTCGGCGCTGCTGGCGGGGCCAGCGCGCCCCCGCGCAGCTCGCGCGCGGCCAGCGGCCAAGGCTGCGACCTTGGCCTGGGGCGTCACAGCCCGAGCAGCGGCAGCAGCCGAGTCCTGCAGGCGAGCGGCTCTGGCGGCGCCACCAGCGCGGGCGGGAGGCTCGGGCGGGGGCAACGGCTCCCAAGGCGCGGACGCTGCAGCAGCGGCGCCCCCGTTGGGCGGGGTCACGATGCCCGGCAGCCCTTGACCGTCGGGCCCCACGATCTGGTCCTCGCCTCCAGGCTCGGGCCTCGGCGGCGGCCAGCGCAAGCGCAATGGCCCGCGCCAGGGCCCGAACCCCAGCGCGCCGCCCAGCACCGCGTCGAGGTCCTCTGGGCTGAGCGCGTGCGGGGCGGGGACCAGAGCGCTGGAGTAGCCCCGCTCTGGGTTGATGTCGTCGTCCGCCACCGCCGCAGGCAGAGACGCTGCAAGGGAAACCAGCGCCCGAGCCGCAGGCCAGCGTCCGTCGCCAGCCCAGTGCCCGCTGCCCGTGGCGGGCTCCATCCAAGCACCGCCCTCCGAGCTGACCCTCACGAACGCCACCGTCGCCATCTGGCCGTCGACCGCCGGGAGGAAGTGCACGGGGTCGCCCAGCGCGGCGAAGTGGGGGCTCAGCCACGGGCACACGTCCGCGGGGATCGCGATGGTGAGCACGGAGCCCGCCTTGCGGATCGGCACGATCGGCACCGCGACCCCCGCGCCGTCCGCGCTCAACCCTCGGTGCACCACCGAGACGTCGACCTGCCTGCAGGGGCATGTAGTCGTCCGTCAGCTCCGCCACCCTCATCTCCCACTCGTACTCCTCCGCACTGGCCGGGTCGGCCCCTCCCAGCACCGCAGTCGCCATCACGCGAGCCGCGGGGCCAGCACGTCGAACAGCGGCGCGGGCAGCGGCGCCTCGTGCTTCGCCGCCTCCGCCTCGTAGCCAGCCACGGCCGCCGGCTCGCTGGCGTACCGCCGCAGCCGCACGCCCGACGAGAACGTGTAGCGCCCGCCAGGCAGCGTCGCCGCCAGCTCCCGCCAGGCCGCGCCGCCGCCGCAGTGCACGCCCCGCAGCTCCGGCCGCAAGGGGTGCCGCCACACAGCGTAGGCCCAGCCCTCAGGGCGCGGGGCGCGCGCCGGAGCCTGGCTGCCACCAGCCCGTCCGCGGCGCGCCGCTGCGCCAACCTCGGGCGCCTGCTTGGCCGGCGACGCGCCGGCCCCGCAAGGGGTCCCGCCCAGCACAGCAGCGGCTGCCTCAGCCGCGGCGCGCCCGGCCTGTGCGGCGTCCGCGCCGCTCGCGACGTGCACGTGGACCTCCACGTGCTGCTGAACGAAGGTGCCCGCGCCGCCCTGGGGCGAGGGGGACGGCGCCGAAGCCGACCGCGCACCCGAGCCCGCGGCGCGGCGGCGGGAGCACCAGCTCGGCAGCCGCCGCCACCAGCCAGCGCGCCTGCCGCTCGCGGCCTCCGCGCGCTCCAGAGGGAGCGCGCGCTGCATGCAGCGCCAGCGCGTGAGGGGGGCCACGGACCGCGCGGGCGCTGATCCGTGACGGCTGAGGCCATTGCTCCCGTCCCAAAGCCTACAAGTCATGCTATGATATGGTGTGAGATGCTGCGCTATGGTATGATACGCTCTGATATGCTCTGTTATGGTATGATATGATGCGCTATGCTATGCTGCGCTATGTTATGGTTTGATATGGTATGATATGATATGATGTGATATGATATGATATGATATGATATGATATGATTTGATATGATATGGTTTGATATGCTATAATATGCTATGCTAATGCTGCGCTGCGCTAAGCTAAGCTGAGCTAGGCTAGGCTAAGCGAAGCTAAGCTAAGCTAGGCTAGGCTAAGCGAAGCTAAGCTAAGCTAAGCTAGGCTAAGCTAAGCTAAGCTAGGCTAGGCTAGGCTAGGCTAAGTTAAGCTAAGCTAGGCTAAGCTAAGATGAGGTAAGCAACGTTACGTAAGCTAAGGGAACGTCACTGGGGGAACCGCGGGGCGGATCCTGGGGGAACCGCCCAGGGCGGTTTCCACTGCCCGGCCCTTTAAGCCAACACGGTAAGAACCCTTCTAGGCAGAGCCTAGGTAGGGAACAAGAGCAAAGTCATTGCCACGCACACTACTACAACAACATTTCTGATGAACTCGTTCCCCGGTCGAAGTCATGTTGTTTCGGCGGCAACGTAAGTGGCTACGTGTAAGGTTTGAACTCGTGCTTATGGTCGCTACGACATCATAGCAAGACGGTTTTAGTCATGAGCTCCGCCGGGGAACGAACTCTTTCAAATTGGTGCTACTTCCGCCGGGCAACGAGTCGAACAACCGGGGAACGTGTCGTTCAACCAGGGACCGAGTCGCTCGCCTCCCCCCTCCCCCTCCCCCTCCCCCTCCCCCTCCTCCTCCTCCTCCTCCTCCTCCTCCTCCTCTCCTCCTCCTCTTCCTCCTCCTCTTCCTCCTCCTCCCTCCGCCTCCTTTCCTCCTTTCCCTCCCCCTCCCCCCTCCCCCTCCCCATTCCCCCTCCCCCTCCCCTCCCCCCCCCCTCCTCCTCCGCCACCTCCGCCTCCGCCTCCGCCTCCTCCTCCTCCCTCCTCCTCCTCCTCCTCCTCCTCCTCCTCCTCCTCCTCTCTACCTCCCTGCCTCCCTACCTCCCTACCTCCCTCCCTCCCTCCCTCCTCCCTCCTCCTCCTCCGCCCTCCTCCTCCGCCTCCCCCCTCCCTCCTCCTCCTCCTCCTCCTCCTCCTCCTCCTCCTCCTCCTCCTCCTCCGCGGGGTCCGACACCAGAGGCCTCCTAGATGGGCTCCGAATAGATGAGGTCGGAGGATCGCGCCGCACCTGCGACACATCGGCGATACATCGCCGACGCATCGGCGATGCATCGGCGACGTCGCCGATGCATTGGCGCTGTCGGCGTTGAGGGAACCGGGCTCCACATCGAGCCGCATCGCCGATGCATCGGCGATTCGGCGCGATCCCCCGAATCTACTCCGACCCCATCTGGGAGACCTAGAGACACTGGGCGAAAACGCCGCGGATCTCATGGCAGGTCTGCCGATGCCGAACCGAGTCTCGCTGAGGGGCCCGCCGGCTCCGCGGGGCCCGCGGGCGGCGTGGCCGGCGGCGTGGCCGGCCGCGGCGGGCGGCCGCGCGGCGGCGGCGGGGCCGCGGCGGCGGGCTGCCAGGCCGAGCTGAGGACCGCGTCGAACTGCTCGTCGCTGTCCTGAGTGGCAGCTTTAGGGTTAGATCGGGCATGTCCTGCTACAGGCGGGTTTGGGAAGAACAGAAAATTAGCCGGCCCAACGGGCCAGAGGCGTGCTAAGATCTCCGGTCACTGGTTAACAATATATTAATACTTCTAATTCGCGCGCGCGGGGCGGCTCCTGGAGGCTCCCGGACGAAAAGTACCCCGACCAACCCCCGACAAACCCCGGGCCAGGTCCCCGGCAGGTCCTGGGAGCGCGCCAAAAGGGCCCCGAGACGCCCCAGAGGCGGTCCAAGAGAGCTCCGAGTCGCTGAAAAAGATCGTTTCAAGACGCCAAACGTAGCCCTCAGACAGCCCTAGAGGCCGCCAAGAAGCCCCAAGAGTCTCAAGAGGCCCTCCAAGAGGGTCCCCAGAAGCAAAACTTGCACCATTCCCCCACGGAAAACGTACATTTTTCGTATCTACCATTTTTGGTGTGTCACAGCGTCCAAGACTGCCCAAGCGCCCACAAGATCGCCCCAAGAGGGCCCAACAGGCCTCCAAGATAAGCCAAAAAGAGCCTCAAGACAGCCCAAAAGAGTCCCAAGACGCCCCAAGAGGCGCCCAGGACTCCCCAAGACGGCCCCAAGAGAGGGAACTCCGAATGACATTTTGAGCTTTCCGCTCCAAGGACGCCTCCGAGACCGCTAGCGGGTTCCCAAGAAGCCTCCAAGCAGCTCCCAAGAACCCCAAAACGGAACCTCAAGAACCCCCGAACAGCGCCCATGACGCCTCTAGAGGCTTCAACACTGCCTCCAAGAGGCTCCCCAGGCGCCTGCCGGGATATCCAAACAGCGCCGCATTGACAACGAGCTCTCACGCAAACGGCAGATATGAGGCTGTATGGTGCCGAACCCTACCGAAGCACTCCCCAGAGGGTCCTCCGAGGCAATGTTGTTTGATGTGCCTTCGGCTTTTCATTCATTTCAGCGTTCTGACTTTCTTCGCTTCCTAACACTGACAGGGTGCCCGAGCTGCCAACAAAGAATCCAACAGCGCCGCATTGACACTGAGCCCTCGGGCAAACGGCAGAGATAAGACTGCATGGTCCCGAACCCTGCCAAAGCACTCCCCAGAGGGTCCCCTGAAACAATATTTCCCTTCAGCTTCTCGTTCATTTCAGCGTTCTCATTTCATCCGCGTCCCAACACTGACTGACTACCTACCAGACAGCCCCAAACTAACCCGAAGACCCCGATTGCGGGTTGGGGGGGTATGGGCTTCATATGTGTGTTTTCCCATTTTCCCCGGTCACCCCCACTGACTCCAGAACGACCCCAAAGAGCATCGACACAACCCGCAAGTGATTTCTACCCCTCGGCCACAAGGGGCCCCAAGAAACCCTACCCCTCGGCCACAAGAGGCCCCAAGAAACCCTACAACTCTCCCAAAAAGGCTCCGACAATGTGGGCCGGCGGAATGAGCGAAGCGACAACAAAAAAAACAATAATCAAGCATGGCCAAGAACAGTCAAAAAGCACGAAACAACGCCACCTGACGATTTTTGTTAGCTATTCTCTGATATTCCTCCTGTAGAGGGACAGGCCCGACGTTAATTTGGTAGACCAAAAAGAGGGTCCAGCTGAAACGGGGTACTGCAATAGGTTTGGAGAAAATTGATTGCAAAATGATTGCGCCAGAGATTTGTTTTGCATTGTATTGCAACTGACGTATCGTACGCGAAAACCAGCAATACATTTGAGAAGGAACCCACAAACCTGTGGCACCAAATCTATTGCACCACCACCTTGTCGCTGGACCCCCTCTTGGGTCAACCAGAGTTAGAGGAGTCGAAGATCGACCATAAGATCTGGGCGTTGCGAACGAGATGGTCTAGGGTCTAGGGTTCTGGTCGTGATTCCAAGATGTTGCAATTCTCTCCGGCGAGGTTCGAGCTTCGAGGCTCGAGCTTCGAGGTTTCTGGACGCCTTCGTCGGTGATCGTCGGTTCTCCAGCCGCGGGATGCCCCTCAGCGGCTGCACCTCGCCAAGAGCGCCCCTGGGTTTCCAAACATCCCAAACGGCCGCCAGGGGCCCGAATTCTGACCTGGAAACCACCTGGGAACTGGCTCGGGGAGGGGGGGGGGGGGGGGCAAACATCGACCTGGAATCGGTGATACATGTCGGCGACGGGCCCTGGGCAGCGGATCCGCGTGGTCCTGGGCGGAATGGGCTTTCTGGCCCGCATCGGCGATGCATGCGCGGCTGGGGGTCGATGCCCCCCCCCCCTGTCGTTGCCCTCGTTTTGGGGCTCTCTGGCGGCAGTTCGGGGCGATCCAGGCGCCACCCGAACGCCCTCGACGAGGCGCAGCTGCTGGAAGACACTCCGAGGCTGGAAAGCCGACGGGAACCCACGAAAACGCTTGAAAATCTCATACCTCGAACACATGCACCCCCCCTTAGCCTGTCCCCCCCCAGCGTTGCCCCTGATGTCCGTGCAGGCGCTCACGGCCCCGTAATAGCAGAGGAAGTCCGCGAGCTCGGCGCGGCCGCCGCGCAGGCCGCCGACATCGATGCCGAGGGCGAAGCGCTTCAGCGCGTCCACGGCGTCGACCTCCCGGGCCCCCTCCCCTGGGATCCAGCGTTGGAGAAGGAGAGAGAGGAGGAGGAGGAGGAGGAGGAGGAGGAGGAGGAGGAGGAGGAGGAGGAGGAGGAGGAAAAGGAGGAGGAGGAGGAGGAGAAGGACTAGGCCTGTCTTTGGTTTGAGTGACCTTCCGCTGCATACAGCACCTTCGACACCGCGCTGAACAACATGTTGCAAAAGTGGTCCGAACGCCTCTCCGACCTCTGCGAACGACTCCCGCAAAACAGCCGCTTCGGAGCGTGGGAGGATGGATTGCAACCCTTTGGGGCCCTAACTGGGCCTTGCGAGAGTTTCCAATGACGGCCTTCAACATTCGAGGTGGCTTCGGGACAGCGGCGGGGGGTGGTGTCGAACCGCGGGCGCATTACTGCACGTGCCAAGCAGTTGTACACCGTAAGTGTGGTCGTCGGGGTCTTGTCCGAGCCTCGTTTTGGACCCGGCGCTGCTTGGCCAGAAGCTTGTATCTTCCAGTGCATCAGGGAACTTTCCTAGAACAAAAAAAAAAACGGCATAAGCATAAGCTTTTGGCGCTCCGCGCGGATTTCTTGTATCTGCGCTGGACCCCCCTCCCTGGCGCGCAGAGCGCGCCAGAGGCGGTGCCGGAGGCGCCGCCAGGTGGCCCCAGCGCGGATCCAAGAAATCCGCGCGCGGCGGCAAAAATGTATGTTTACGGCGTTGTTTCTTCTTCGAGTTCCCTATCCCCCGACACGGTCGGCATTCCAGGCCGCAGCGACGTGGCCGCTGTGGCGACGCAGGCCGACGGAGCAGGCGATGCCAGAGCAATAGATGGTCAGCGCTGCCGGGCGCCGGGGACGGACGTGGAGTCCGCATCTTCGGGGAGTGTGGGCCGCGCAAGTTACCAGGAGGGGGAGGAGGAGGAGGAGGAGGAGGAGGAGGAGGAGGAGGAGGAGGAGGAGGAGGAGGAGCGATACGATGAGAGAATTATGCTAGTTGGGCACGCCGGGTTCGCAGGCTGAAGCGTGCTCGTCTTGGGTGATTTCGATCTCCATTCTGGGGCGCTCGGCAGCGCAAGCCCACAGCACGAGGGACAAGTGGACAGGGTGGAAGATCCCCGCGGCATCGGCTGCCCGCTCCGAAACACCCCTGGGGTACCGACCCACCGCTCCAGCTCTGCTATCGACGTCGTGGCGACGACCAAAAATCTACAGGTGGTCGTTACAACGTATGTATTTCATCGGCGATGGGGGACTTGGATATGACTTGCCATTTCGCCGTCACTCTCCCGCCTTGTTGCCTGATCCGCCGAGCTCGGTGGGGCCACGGCGACCAGTGGGATGCAGCGCTCGCGACGGTGCCGCACACGTTGAGGCTCACTGCTGGCTGGGCTCCTCTGGCGATGCGGCATGCGAAGGTGAACGGCTGGGCAGCGGCGGGACGGAAAAGACGCCTCCGGCAGAGGCCGCTTGACATGGCTGTGTGATGACGTTCTGTGGTGTGCACGGCATGCGGGCACCTCGGCGGCCTCGTCCTCGTCCGCCCTGCTAGGCCGCAGGCGCAGCGCCGCGCCATCAGTGCGCAAGCAGAGGGATTGCTCGGCACTGACGAGAAGCACATTGTACAGCGACACCCAGGCGAGGCAGCCAGACTGGCCATCGCTCGGACGTCCATTCCCTGTGCTTTTTTCGGTTTCGTGCGCGGCTTTTTCGCAGGATGATCCAGGATGCTCCTTAGTTCCCCGACGAGAAAATGTGCACACGTCCGAGCGATACCAAGTAGAAGCGTGCAGGAAGTTGGTCCTTGACGGGCGTCGCGCGGCGGACGCTGTGGTGACGTGCTTCGTCGATCCGAAGCGTCAGCTGCAGCTGTCGCTGCGGGGCCCAACTGGCCAGATCCTGGACGCGGAGGCCGCCGTGGAAACCAACACTGACGACGCACTGGAGCGTGGCTGGGTCGCAGGGCAGGGCGAACCGGGATGCAACCAGCAGGTTCGCCAAACATTGAAACGCATACGCGAAGGATGCCTTCCAAGACGTCGCAGAGAACGTGGGTGGCGACCCATTCGAGCTCGATGAGGCCGAGCGCGTCCTAAGATCAATTGACCACGACTGTGCCAGCCAACGTTTACATCGCGCCGCTACGGTAGCCCGTGCTGGCGCCGTACTCACTTTGGCCATCGTCAACTTAGCCGCCGTATTGGGTCTACTAGCCTCGGAGTGGGTCAAAGTTATTACACCCGTTCGCAAGAAAGGCAGGGCGGCCAGCCTTGCCGCTGGGCTGCCTTTGTGGCGACTGCCTCGCGACTAAAATAAACACGCAGAATCTGCAACCGCACGGTCGCCGGACCTGCCGCCCTTCCTCCAGGCACCAGAGGCGGGCGCCCGTGCCTGTCCATCGGCACGGATGGGCATCCAAGCCCACTCGGCCCTAGCTTCCTGGGGAGGGCCGTGCCTGCCCTGAGCGCAAGGGCAGAAGGTCCTAGGCCACAGTCGCCCGGCCATTCACTGGATAAGGGGCTACTCAGGGGTGCTCTAGTAGTTCAGAGAACACTTAGTGGCGCCCCGTGCATCCCACGGGCTTTTTCCCCTGCAGAATCGAATGGCGTCGGCACGGGGAGGAGGAGGAGGAGGAGGAGCAGGAGGAGGAAGAGGAGGAGGAGCAGGAGGAGGAGGAGGAGGAGGAGGAGGAGAGGGCAGAGGGCCTCCCCGCATTTCACCTCCGGCAGCGCGGCAGCGTTGTACCGCAGCAACAGCTCGCCGGCATCCACAGAGCCTTGCCGCTCCGCGTCGAGTGCCGCAAAGGCCGCCTCCACGGCCACCTGGCGGCGCGCGCTCATGGGCCCGCACAGGGCGCGCATGAGCTCGCCGCGGCCGGCCTCCCCTCCCAGGTGAGACCACACGGAGCCCGCGGCCGCCTGCCGCAGAGGAGAACGGCATATGGACGTAAACTTCTGGAGCTCCGCGCGGATGTCTTGGGTCGGCGCTGCCCCGCCCCCCTAGGCGGCGCGCGCGCTCCGCGCGCCAGGGAAGGGGATTAAGGATTCCGCGCGGACCTCCGAAAGCTGATTGCTGAAGCAGCTTTATCTTCCTTCGGCCTGGGGGATGCCCAGGTCCTCCTCGAGGCACGCCTCGGGGCGGCGCCGGCCGTTCACCAGACTAGCCCGATGCATGCGCTGCCGCACGGGCACCCCGAGATCCGACATCGATTCCGAAACACTTGCAACATCGAGAAAAACAGGGCCTGAGCACTTAGGCCCCATCTGTTGGTGGCGCGCACACGGGCCAGGGGGGATTAGATGGAGGCTGCTTCTCAGTAGGCGCTGGCCTTGCATCTGTAAGCAAGGCATGCGCCTTCCAAGAAGCAGGGGGTGTGCTGCTAAGAAACCCTTCCCCCCTCCCCCTACCCCGGATGGGACAATAATCGCCCCCCCTTGAATCCGCTGGGGGGGTTGGGTAATTACGTGCTGTCGGCACGGGTGAGAGGAGTTGGGGGAGGAGGAGGAGGAGGAGGAGGAGGAGGAGGAGGAGGAGGAGGAGGAGCAGGAGGAGGGGGAGGAGCAGGAGGAGGAGGAGGAGGAGCAGGAGGAGGAGGGGTAGGGGGAGGAGGAGGGAGGGAGCGGGATTATGATTGGGCGAGCTGCGTCGGGGGATGAATCACCCTCCCCCCCTTGATTAATGCCCCATCCGGAGTGCCCCCCGCTGCGCGTGGCCGAGCTGGGCCCCATCTTTCTTAACCAGCCTCGAACTTATCCCTATCCCTGAGATTGACACGCCAAAAGGCGATGACAATCTTAGGGATGCACCCTCAGAAACTGAGGGAATCCCTAAGATCGCCATCGTGACGAGGCGATGCCCAACATGGGGAGAGGGATAGGGATGGGTTCCAGGCTGGTAATTTCTGCTGCATGTTTCGAGCCGCATCGACCTGCGACGGCCCCACGGCCCGACTCCGGGCGCAAACGCCCAGCGCGAGCCAAACAATCACAGCGCCCGGATCTCGGGGCACGCGCCGCAGCGCGCACCGGGCTGCTCTGGCCCGCGGCCCCCGCCCGAGCCGCCTGCTCGAAGCCGCCCCGCGTCACCCCGCCGCCGGGCCCGCCCGCGGCTCGCAGCCGGCGCCCGAGGCCCGCAAACGCCCCAGCGCCGCGCCCGCGGAGCACGGAGCGCAGGGCTGCGAGGTGCGCCTCCGGGCGTGGCTCCTCTGCGCCCGGCGCGCCCGGCGCGGATGCCGCCGCGTGGGCCGCCTGAAGGGCCGCCGCGGGCGCCGCCGCGGGAGCCGCCGCGGCAGCCGCGGGCGCCGCCTCCGCGGCGGCGTCCGGGCCGGCAGCCCACGGCACGGCGGCCATCCGCTTCTTGCCCTGCTCCTCGGCGGAGGGAGGGCTGCTGCTCTCTGCTGCTGCCCCTCCGTCGTCCCCGCCCCTCTGCGCGTCCTGGGGGCCCTCGTCGCCATGGCCGGAGGCGCCTCGGAATGCTGGTCGGAACGCGCCCCTGGAGAGGTTCGGGGATGGGCAGCGGCACCGCTATCCTTTTGAGCCCTAGCCCTCAGCTCCAGCTCGTCCCGGACGGGGAAGGCCATCCCGACCATGTGAAGCTGGCTGGGCGGCCCTCGCGCCTTGGCCGGAGAGGCGCTGGCTGCGCGGCGCACGCTTCCCGCGTAGCCTTTTGGCACCGTGCTGCCCCCCGCGTAGGTCGACCTCATCGTCGACGCCCACCTTCGAGAAACCAAACAAGACACAAACACACACACACACACACACACACACACACACTTTCGGAACTTCGCGCGGACGTTTTGGATCTGCGCTGGACCCCACCTGGCAGCACCTCCAGCGCCGCCAACGCCGACTCAAAGAATCCGCGCGGAACTTGGAAGGTTTATGTTTCTGCCGCCCTTGTTTCTTCCAGCGCGATACATCGCCGATGCATGCCCTATGTATCGCACGCCAGCGAAACCGTCGCGGACTTCCGAACGCCTAATCATGCTTGTGCCAAGTTGGAGGCGGCCGGGGTGACTAAGCTGGATAAACCCAGAGACAATCGGTCAAGAGGGGTGGGGTGGGGGCAAACTAGTTCCCAATTTGAACTTTGCCTCCAGAGCCCCCCCGGTGGTCGAAGCTGGCAAGTGCTTGGAGCCGCGTCCGGCCGTGGCAACGCGCGGGTCCCTTTCTCCCCCGATCCTTCTGGCCAGAGCCACTGCTGGGCCACCCTCCAAATTCTAAGTTTAGGTCGGGCCTGTCCTCCTACAGGAGGATTCTGGACGAACAATAAAAAAATTACAAACGATACCCCGAAATGGTCAAACAAATAATCAAAATATCGTCCCCAGACTATGTTTGACTATTTTGGGATATCCCTCCTGAAGAGGGACGCGCCCGATTTCAGTTTGTCTTTCCCGGCGCCTGCTGCACGCGCCGCCCGCGTGGCTCAGCAGGTACGGGCTGCGCTCCAGGTGCCTCGACAGGGGGGCAAGGGAAGGGCGACACCACCGCCAACGCAGGGGACCACAAAGGCGTTCTTGCTCGGCGTTTCGACACTGGGCGAAGGCGGAAGGGGGGTGGCCTGGCTCTGGACCTCTGCTTGATGCGGCTGTCTGCAGCAGTGCGTCCTGCGGGGGAGACTCCACCTGCGTGACGCAGGCGCCCCAAACAGCCAAGATCCGTGGGGGGGAATGGGTGCGAGGGCCCGCGCCGATCGGCAAACCACCGAATAAGAAAACGACCACGAGCAGAGGTGGCCCCCCTGGTGGTGGTGGCGGTGGTGGCGGTGGTGGTGGAGGTGGTGGCGGTGGTGGTGGTGGTGGTGGTGGTGGCGGTGGTGGCGGTGGCAGTGTCGCCTCCCCCCCCCCCCGACCTCGACTCGCCGCCGAGGCGCCGGGCCCTCGTCATGGGGCCGGCCCCGCCGTGCCGAGGCCAGCGCGCGAGGGTGGGCGCCGCTGGGCAGGGCCCAGAGCTCCGACGATGCGTTCTTGGAAGCCCCTACGGGGAGCTCGTCAAACTGTGACTCACAAACAAAAACATGTTTTTAAAACTAGGCTTGGGAGAACCACGCGCGCGATGACCGCAGTGCACGGGACAAAACAAGGAATTGGCACGAATCTGATTGCAGAGCAGGCCCGCGGGGCTGAGGCCGGGCATGCCATCCTAGTTGTTTGACCTCCCTGAATTGGGTCCGAGTGGACAAAGTCGGAGGATCGCGCCGCATCGCCGATGCACAGTCAATGCATCGGCGACGCCGGCAATGCATCGGCGACGTCAGCGTGGTCGAGCTCCCCATCGAGTTGCATCCCCGATGCATCGGCGGTGCGGCGCGATCCACCGATTCCATCTACCCGGACCCAATCAGATAGGCCTAGAGTGTTTCCTTCAGTCCTTGCGCTGTTCCCAGACCTCCAAAGCATTGGACCAAAAACAATACTCAAATTGTTTGCCGATTTCGTCCTCTGGGGACCCTCTCCGGGCGCTATAGAGGCCTCCTAGATGGGGTCCGAGTAGATGGGGTCGGAGGATCTCGCCGCATCGCCGATGCATCGGCGATGCATCGCCGATGCATCGGTGATGCATGGGCCATTCACTGGCGACGTCGGCGGTACATCCGCGACGTCGGCGTGCGGAAAAATGGACCCCGCATCGAGCCGCATTGCCGATGCATCGCCGATGCATCGGCGATGCGGCGCGATCCTCCGACCCCATCTACTCCGACCCCATCTAGGAGGCCTAGACGCTAGGCCCGCAAAAGACGACTCAGGATGAAAGACCGGTCCTGAGGAAGAAGTAAGTGACCCCGCATGACAAAGTCAAAATATCAGATCTCTTGGCCTCTCCTCGATCTCGGTCCCATGGGGCCCGTCATCAGGCCACGGGGCCATCAAAAACGGATCTGGGGCAAAAAGCTACATGGAGTAAGTGCGGAAGCTGAAGAATTCAATGGGAGTGGGGATTGGCCATGACAGGAGAAGCTGGCAGGAGCTAAAACGAGCCATAGGAAATTGGATGACTTCGCCGGGGCTGGAAACTGTAGATGGAAACTGGCCAGGGCTGGAAAGAGTGGAAGGGGTAGCCACAACCACTTTTCCAACTTCCCTGTACGGCCGGTTCGCGTCGTGACGACCCCAGCCTGGATTCTGAGACCTGGTTAATCGTTCAACCTCCAACGAACGGCAGCTCTTCGATCGCCAGATCGTTCCATATTGGCCGATTCTGGGCCACTGGCGGCGTTCAACCCTGAACTCCCGCGGTGGTGTCGCTGCCGCATCGATGATGAAAGATCAACACACGCTCTGACCTGTACGCAGGGAGGCGGAATGGGAGCGGGCAACACGATGAGCGCGGAGACCCCCATCCGACAACGCACACCCGTAGCCCCCCCCCTCGAACTCAACTCCGAAAACTCTGGGCGCCGCATAAATACGGGTACCAGCTGTCAGCTCATGGCCGGCACGACACGAACCTGCCGCAGGGGCCGTGCCTCCCGGGGCTGCGCACCGAAACAATACCACATCGTCGGACACCTGGGCTCCGCGCGGCCAACCGGGCGATACCCCGAGCGCGAAAGCGCGGCTGCGGGCACCACGCGCGCCCGGCTCCTGCGCCCACGCGAGAGAAGGGGGAGCTCCCAAGAGGCCCCCGGAGCGCTCCCATGAGGGCCCCCAGACGTCATTGGCGGGCGAGTTTCAGCAACTCCGAGCAAGCGTTGAGCTGCTGGAAGAGCGGCGGCTCTCGTGGGGCGCAGCGGTCAGGGGAGACGAGGGGGGGAAGGAGGTGTTCCACAAGAGGGGGCCTTGGACCTCTCGACCCCTTCCCTGGAACTGACTCTTCAGTCCAAGACTCCCTCTCTGACGCCCCTGTGTGGGTCCAGGAGCGTCCTGCTCCGGGACGTCGAAGGCGACGACAAAAACCTCTGCCCACTGCCTCTCTGGAGCCACCGAGGAAGTCCTGCCCTCCTACCGCGCATTCTCCAGCCCAGTACAGTCAACCCGTATACAGCAAGGGTGCGCCACAAGGATGCATGGGCCTTGGACGCCCATTTCGAAGCTTTTCGAGCGGGGCGCGGCCAACCAAAGTGGTCCAGGATGGACCGAGGAGGCAAGGACGAAGAGGTTCCCGTGGGAAGGTTGCCCATCCTTACTATGCGGGTCGACCGTAGGTCAGCGCATGGGAGCTGATCGACGCACAGACGCACAGGTGGTCTTTGCTTGGACAAGCAGACGCACAGACGCAAGACATTGACGCACACAGACGCCTAGCCGCACGCCGCACAGACGCACAGACGCATCGATGGCATCGAGGCCTCTGTGGGCCCCCGAAACGGCAGGGCCGTTTTGCACCGTTTCCAAAAAATGTCCCTTGAAAATGGAAACAGCAAAAAAACGGCGACCGGAAACGGCAACAAAAAACGGCTCCAGGATTGCAACCGGAGCCGGAACTGGTCAAACAACGGCGACTGAGCCGTTTAAAAAACGGCGTCAGAACCGGCAAATAAACGGCAAAACGGAACCCGTAAAAAAACGGCCCTGTCGTTTCCAGGGCCCACTAACATCGAGGCCCGCCTCCCGCGCTTTTTCCGACCCGGTCGAGCCTGGTAGCCCGACAAAAAAACGCGCGATCGACAACAAACGCAGCAACGGGCAGGGCGGGAAGCAGAGCCTCGCGGTTCCGCGAGGGTGCCCCCCGAAGGCGCGGCGCGCTGCTAGGCGAGAGGCCCCCGAAGGAGTGCTGCCAGAAGGGGAGGGTGTAAATGTTTGCTCCGCGCGATCCCAGGCCGAAGAGCTTCTGTGTCCTTGGTAACTGTTTTTGAATGTACGTCCGTGATGGCAATTCGTTGCCTCTGGTTTCAGTGTATGTGCTTTGCGCCCGATCTGTACCCTTGCTCCTGCTGTATAATGTTGATACATGGTGTATGTGATTGGGCGGCGCTGTTGATGTAGACGTGTTGTTGGCGTATAGCTTGGTAAGCGGTATCAGAATACGGTACTGTTGTCCGCCACTGGTGTGATTGCCGTGTTCTTCTGGTGTATGTGATTGATGTACGTTATTGTTGCCTGTTGCGGATGCGCGTTATTGGTCTGTGCTCGTAAGGTTGTTATCAACCGCTGCTACTGACATATACTATACACGTATGCGGTCTGTGCGAAATACGTTTCAGAGGGCGCGTATCGACGTAGTTCACTGTTGCATGATGCTGATGTGTTACTGTTGGATGAAAAAAACATGCTCATAGGATGCACGTGCTGGCGAATGCGATTGGTGGCATATTTGTTTTGTGTTATTGACGTGCGCTCTTGGTGTGGAGTGGTGTTGGATGTTGCTGGCGCCTGTTGTTACCAGGGCGGGCTGGGCTGGTGATGTACGTCATTGCCTAAAAGTCCATCAAACCCTGTCCCAGAAGGAGCGAAATCTTGGTGTTGTGTTCCCCCTGCCGTGTTTGCACTCAGGAGCTCATAGTTGAAATTGAGCCTGCGGGCTGCTCCAGCCGCCACGTGGCCGCAGTATCCGCCTCGTCGCTGCCCGTCGCCGCCCGTCTCCACCCGGCGCCTGAGCATGCGGACCGCTCTGGCCGCCACGTCGCCGCCGTCGCCGCCTCGTCGCCGCCCGCCGCCTCGTCGCCGCCCGCTGTATGTTTCGCACTGTTTCGTGTTACGACGCGTTGCCACGCATTGCTTGGCATTGCTTTGCATTGTTTTGGATTGTTTCGCGGTGTCTCGCATTGCGTTGTGGAATTGCATTACAATCGCACGATTTTGCAATCGCATTGCATCGCACGGTTTTACAATCATGTCACTTGCTGTGCAAAGCTACGCCGTGTTTTGTCGTATTCCGCATTGTTCTGCATTCCGTCACATTGGTTGGCATTGTTCTGGAACGTGTTGGCTCGATCCGCGCTGCTTTCATCCACCACACAATGTTTGTACTGCGGTTTTCTTGTTCGTTCCTCAAACACTGTTTGCGCTTGGGTGTTTTAGCTCGTTCCCAAAACAATGTGGCCGCCATCGCCGCCCCGTCGCCGCCTCGCAATACATACGTTATCCTTTCTTACAAGGAATTCGGTGTTAGCCCTTCCCCACCCCGGGCTTACCATCCTTCAGGGGTACTGCAATTTACATGTAATTTTGCCACCTGGATTATTTTCCATATGAAGTCACACCGCCCCAGCTAGTCCCGGCATCGCGCCCCCCCCCCCCCAGCATCGCCATCAAATAATCCAATGCGGTGCACATGCGTCGATCCAAGATGAACTGAATGCGCGAACCTCCATGAAATAACACCACGCGGGCCACACGCGCGCGCGCACAATACGAAAGTATTCAAAAACCTTGTCGTGGCGATTCCAGCGTTCCAACGACAAATCAACACTCCATCCCGCGCGCTCTTGCGGATTCCTGGGAAACCCAATACAGTTTCAACTCCTGTCCAAGGAGGCCTTCGCGCGCGCATGTCGAACTTATTCCAGTGCGCTCGCGCGCGTGCCAGGGGCATGATTCCCGTCAAATTATAAATACCATGCGGGGCACCGTCATCGTCAGCATTGCCGTCGGAAACGTCGTGATCATTCTCATCGTTGTTTGCCGATGCTGTCGTCCGCGCTGTCTTCCGCAAGATGGACTGTGCCCGCGAGACGAGCGTCCGAGCGCCAATGAAACACTATGAAATTAACGGAGGAGCTCCACGCTGCAACTGTACTCGCGACCGTAAGAGTTCTGCAAACCACCTCATCGTCTTTCGTCGACGCTGTCGACCGCGCTGTCTCCCGCAAGATGGACTTTGCCCGCTCCACGGGTATCCGCGCGCCAGCGAGCTCGATGAACTTTGCAGACGAGCTCCACGCTGCGACTGCAGTTGCGACCAGAATGCGGGCGGGAGGGTGGACTGTTTGCACGAGCGCGGGAAGT